GCCTGCCACATGCACTGGAGCTAGTGGGTTCAAACCCGGCCCAGGCCTGCTAAACAAACAAACAAACAAAAAGCTGGGCATTGTGGCAGGCACCTATAGTTCTAGCTACAAGGAAGGCTGAGGCAAGATAATCAGTTGAGCCCAAGAGTTTGAGGTTTCTGTGAACTGTGATGCCATGGCACTCTACCAAGGGTGACATAAAGACAGGGTCACACTTTGTTGTCCAGACTGGAGTTCAGAGGCTATTCACAGGTGTGATTATCATGGACTACAGCCTTAAACCCCTGGGCCCAAGTGATAACTCCTGGAGGCTGAGGTGGGTGAATTGCCCAACCTCATCAGTTTGAGACTAGCCTGAGCCAGATGGAGACCTTATCTCTAAAATTAGCTAGGTGTTGGGGAGGGTGCCTGTAGTCTACTTAGGAGGCTGAGGCAAGAAAATAGGTTGAGCCCAAGAGTTTGAGGTTGCTGTGAAGTATGACACCATGGCACTCTACCGAGGGTGACGAAGTGAGACTGTGTCACAAAAAAAAAAAAAAAAAAAAAAAATTGATGATAGGAGTGGGTTTTATAAATAATATAGTATATCATCATGGGTTTTAGAGTCATAAACTTGATTCGGATACTACTTTGCTGCCTACTAGCTATGTGAGGAAATTTACTTAACCTCTGATTTAAAATGGTGACACTGATATCTTCCATGGGGTTTTGGGGAGGATTAAGTAAAATTTTTGTAAAACACTTAGCACAGTACCTCACACATTACATCCCATTAGTCAATGTTAGCCCACCCCTATTAAAAGCTAATTGTATTGATTGGGCTTCTTTTCAGGGAATTTTTTTGATCAGGGGCTAGAATGACTGTCTTAAATGTGACACATATCTTGGGTGTTACATTATGTGACTCCTTAGGCCTGTACCTGAACTTCCTGGGAAGTCAACCTTCTTTGGCAGCTCAGATGAGTTCATTGAGAAGCGACGACAAGGTCTGCAGCACTTCCTTGAAAAGTGAGTGGACATGCCAGGCTAGCACTGGCTCCTGGGGGCAAAGACAAGGGCAGAGGTTGGTGGACATTAGGCTGTTACATTTCGGCGATTGTAAATTGAGCTGCAATAAACAGTCTAGTGCAAGTGTCCTTATGATAAAAGGATTTTTTTCCTTCTGGGCGCACATTTGTGGGGTGTCTTTTTTTTTTACTTTTGGTAGGTTCCTTTCTTGCATCCTCATGCCTCCAGTGCTCCTTCAGGTCAGAAGTCCTTTAAAGGACAAGGATGGAAAGCAACTCCTCAGGGTGGTTCTCTGTATTGTGCTACCTATGTTTGTCCCAGGGTCCTGCAAAGCGTGGTTCTCCTGTCAGACAGCCAGTTGCATCTCTTCTTGCAAAGCCAGCTCTCGGTGCCTGAGATAGAAGCCTGTGTCCAGGGCCGAAGCTCCATGACTGTTTCTGATGCCATTCTTCATTATGCTATGTCAAACTGCGGCTGGGCCCAGGAAGAGAGGCAGAACACTTCTCACCTGGCCAAAGGAGACCAGCCTAAGAGGTAACTGAAACACTCTTTTTTGAGATACCAGAGGCTAGGATTGCTGTAACCTGGGCCAGTGGGGTCTCTATTTGTTAAGGAAAGTAATGTCACAGCATTGGTAGGATCTCAGAAAGCCCCTGTCCTCTGTGTATATGGTTACTCTACCACTGGGTGGTGGGGCTCCCATTGATATTTCTAGTAGAGATGGGGTCTCACTCTTGCTCAGGCTGGTCTTGAACTCCTGAGCTCAAGCAATCCATCCACTTTGGCCTCCCAGATTGCTAGGTTTACAGGCATGAGTCACCATGCCTGGCCAAGGGAAGTGTTTTTTCTTTTTCCCTTTTTTTTTTTTTCCTAGGACAGTCTAGCTCTGTCTCCTGGCTCTGGTGAGTGCCCTGGTGTCAGAGTTCAGTGTAACCTCAAACTCTTAGGCTCAAGTAATCAGCCTCCTGCCTCAGCCTTCCCAGTAGCTGGGACTATAAGCACATGCCACCATGCCTAGCTAATTTTTTCTATTTATTTATTTATTTTGAGACAGAGTCTCACTATGTTGCCCTCAGTAGAGTACTGTGGCATCACAGCTCACAGCAACCTCAAACTCTTGGGTGAATCTCTTGCCTCAGCTTCCCCGATAGCTAGGGCTATAGATGCCCGCCTAACATATTTTTGTTGTTGTTGTCATTATTGTTTAGCAGGCCCAGGCCAGATTACAACCTACCAGTCCCAGTGCATGTGGCCAGTCCCCTAAGTCATGGGTGCCAAGTCAAATTTTTTCTATTTTTGGTAGAGACAGGATTTCATTCTTCCTCAGGTTAGTCTCGAACTTCTGAGCTCAAGAGATCCTGCCACTTTGGCCGCCCAGAGTGCTAGGATTCCAGTATAAGCCACTGTACCTGGTCCTTCATCTCTTTTTATAGCCAAAGGATATTCCATTTGTATGGATATATAAAAACAGCTTGTTGGCTGGGCACAATGGCTCACACCTATAATCCTAGCACTCTGGGAGGCCATGGCAGGAGGATCACTTGAGCTCAGGAGTTTGAGACCAGCCTGAGCAAGAGAGACCCCTGTCTCTAGTGAAAAAAATGGAAAAATGTTGTCAGGCCTTGTCATCGGTGTCTGGAGTCCCAGCTACTTGGAAGGCTGAGGCAGGAAGACTGCTTGGACCTTGGAGTTTGAGATTGCTGTGAGCTAGCCTGAGCAAATAATTTTGTTTATTCCATTTGCTTGTGTTTATTCATTTTTTTTTGTCTGCTAATGCCCTTCTATTCACTTTTCCACTCTTTTCCTAGTTGTTGCTTTCTTCCAAGATCCGGTAGGAGGAGCTCTCCATCACCACCACCGAATGAAGAAAAGGACTATTTAGAAGTGTGGGCTCCAGTCATTGACTCTGAGGTTCCTTCCTTGGAAACTTCTACTCTTCCACCCCTCTCATTACCATCATGCTGTGATTTTGTAAGACCTGATGAGGGAACCTCCACTCCTCCGTCTGTGAGGAGTGCCACAGGAAGGGACCATGCTGTTGTGCCTTTGGACCCTGGTCAGTTAGAAACAGTTTTGGAGAAATGAATGCTGGTCTGAACTCTGGGTTTTGCTCTGAGGGAGACAGAGAAGAACCAGGCCAGGAAACTTAGGTGGGATTGAACACAGGGCCAGTATAGGGGGATTCTGGGCTATTTACAGTAACTTCTGCTCAGGTTGGCTGCTCATAGGTCATTCATGACAGCCCCTCGTGCCTCCTCCAGAAGAATAAACACTGTGCAGATGTTTCTTAGTTAAGCATAACGCCCAAGAGCTGTTGATTTTGAACAGAAACCCTTATTTACTTTCCTGGGAACTGAGTTTCTTCATATATTTGGTTACAGGCCCAGGAGCGCCTCCTCAGGTGACTGGTTTTGGGGACCTGTAAGTGGCAGATTCTAACCTGCTATATTGAATATTGTCCCAACAGGAATGTTTATGCAGGTGTACTCACATTTTGGCTGGCTTCTGTTTTTGCTGTATACCCTGAAGCATTTTATTTCTGGCCTCTTGCCTACCTCCTTGCATGGACAGGGCAGTGAATATTACTCTCCTACTTCCTTGCTTTTTTCTTCCACTAATACCATTAAATGGAACTGGTCCTGGGACTTTTGCTGCTAGAGTTTCTGGCCTATTCCAAGACCTCAGCCAGGCCGAATGGAGCCTGGAGGGAGGTGGTTGGCCATAGCCAGAGGGACAGGATACAGCTCAGCGGCCTTTGTTTTGGGGAAGGCTGTCTGGGGCTTACACTGTTTCTTCTAGTTATAAAGCAGAGACGTGGCTATCTTTTCTGCAGGCTTAGAGTGGGCTTCTTTCTTTTGAATCCTTTTCTTCTCCTTTAGTAATAGCTCCCTGCCCCCAGGGCTTCAGCTGCCTGTGTTGTCCCTCTGCTGTGTTGCAAGGAGGCCGTATGTTCAGTTCAGTGGGGCGCAAGGGCTTTGTTTCTGCCTAGAAGAGAGGGCTCTGGGGATGGAGATGAAGAACAACACGCCCTCCTTCAGACAATGAGGCATTCTGCCCTCCTGCTGCCATTATTCCTCTCCACTGAGAGCCAGACCTGGTAGGAGCCCAGTGCTGCAGGCATTCTGCATTGCTCTGCTCTTAGGATTGTGTGTGTGGTTCTTCCCCTCTCACCCACTCCTCCCTTCTGTGACCATTCCACCCTATCTGTGGGCTCTTTTACTACTAGCCTATGCTGTGGGACTGTCATGGCATTTAGTTCAGAGTTGAGGGGCTATGGCCTGAAATAAAATGCAAGTATTTAAGACTGTTGCAATTTGTGTCTAACAAGCTGTAGCCAAGAAGGAGGGAGTGAGAGCTGGTTGTAGTTATTTTCATAAATCATGAATTTATCAGCGTGGAAATAATGGTTCAGAACTGTACTGCAGCTCTCCGGCATTGTGTGTGCAGCTCAAGTTCACCACTGGAGCAAGGATTGTATTCCAAAGAGCCAGGATCCAACTCTTCTCGCAGTTCTGGGCATGAACCTTGTTAGGTATAATTTACCTGATGCTGCTTCCATCCTCTCAGGCTGTCTGAGGTGCCAGGTGCTGAAAGAGAAATAAAGTTTGTCAACAGGCAGATGTAAAGCCCTGGCTGGTATTCATTCCTCTTTCCTGCCCACCTCCCTTGGGTCTCTCCTTTATATAAGGCAGCAGAGCAAGGCGAGGATAGAAAACCTACAGAGGCAAATCCAAAATGTCAAAAGAAGTTCATTTAAAAGGGGAAAAAAACTCCATACACAACCCTTACAAAAACCCGACAGATGCTAAGCTAATGGCATCCGCTTTGCCGATTGGTGGGGATGGCTCATGAATATTAATAAGTCCAATGCTCCAAATGGTGCAGCTGTGAACCCAGCTGTGCCTGAAGCTCTCTGATCTCAAAACTTCCAGACAGAGCCGGAGGTGGTCTGTGTCAATTCCCTACTCAGCCAAAAAAACAGCAAGCTGGGTTGGCCTTCTTCTGTTTGCTCCTTTTCTTTCTGGAGTTGGTGTTTAGCAGCTACTTCTGCCAGCAGGCTAGGCTGCTGGGACAGCAGGAGCCATTCAAAGACATGGATGTGATTTTTCTGACTCCCAGCTTTCTTAATGATCCATTAGCAGCAGTGCATACAACAGCACCTCGGTTAATTTAAGGCCAGGGACCATCTCCCATCGTCCTGCACTGAGTTGAGTATAGGCCATGGAAGGAGATGTCCTAAGAAAGGAAGAGCTTTCCTGTTAACATGGGCCTTGTAGTTACCATGAAAACAGCAAAGACTGGTTTTCTTCTCCACCCAGACAGATGCCCCTCTTTATTTATTTTTGAGACAGAGTCTCACTCTGTTGCCCTGGATAGAGTGCCATGGTGTCATAGGTCACAGCAACCTCAAACTTCTGGGCTAAGTGATCCTCTTGATTCAGCCTCCTAAGTAGCTAAGTAGTGTCTGCCACAACACCCAGCTAGTGTTTCTATTTTTTTTTTTTTAGTAAAGATGCAGTCTTTTTTTTTTTTTTGAGACAGAGCCTCAAGCCGTCCCCCTGGGCAGAGTGCCGTGGCATTACAGCTCACAGCAACCTCCAACTCCTGGGCTCAAGCGAGTCTCCTGCCTCCGCCTCCCAAGTAGCTGGGACCACAGGCGCCCACCACAACGCCCGGCTATTTTTTGGTTGCAGCCGTCATTGTTGTTTGGCGGGTCCAGGCTGGGGACTCGAACCCGCCACCTTAGGTGTACGTGGCTGGCGCCTTAGCCGGTTGAGCTATAGGCGCCGAGCCTAAAGATGCAGTCTTGCTCTTGCTCAGGGTGGTCTCGAACTCCTGAGCTCAAGCAATCTACCTACCTCTGCTTCTCAAGAGTGCTGAGATTACAGATGTGAACCACCGTGCATAGCCCCCTTTTATGTTTTGCTCTGTCCCTTTGTGTGTGTGTGCAGGTTTAGCCATCATGGCTGGATGACTTCTTTATGAAATAACTAGCTGGGTGGAGTCGCCCACTGAACTATTTTGTAGAACAAAAGTATTTTGTTTAGAATTTAGGTTTGATTCAGATTCTGTTGCCTAATTTACTCACCTTTCTTCTGATGGCTTCTTATATGGCTGAAGTCTAGTCATATCCTATTACCCAGGATAACTGATCCCAAGGTCCTAGAGGTTTTATCTGGTAGAAGGAAGTGTGTTTTGGTGGAGGGGAAGGGGAACATAAAAATAATAAGTTTCACATGTATCATTTTAATTGACCTTTGCCCAGTGAGCAGGGTAGGGTTGGTATTCTACTCATTTTCTAGCTGAAGAAACTGAGCTGAGTGTGGCTTTTGATAAAGCTTGGTTTTTAGATGGCAATCGAGTATATTCATGTAAAAGATACTTTCCAAGCTCTATAAGACAAGTGTTTTTTTTTAATTGAAAATTAAAAAAAAAAATTAAACTCTTGACTATACTCAAGAAAAAAAAGTCCCCCTGCAGGGCTTTTCAGAGTTATTCTCAGAAATCAGAGCTCATTCACAGTCCTTAGTTTTCTGACTATTGAGGCCTTAGATCCACACTACTGATAGGTAGGTAGGCACCTCCTACTGTCTCTGGTAGCGTTGCTTGAGAGGTCGTTAGGACTTTTTAATAACCTGGGCATTAAGGCTCGGCACCTGTGGCTCAAGTGGCTAAGGCGCCAGCCATATACACCTAAGGTAGTGGGTTCGAATCCAGCCCGGGCCCCCGCCAAACAACAATGATGGCTGCAACCAAAAAATAGCCGGGCATTGTGGTGGGTGCCTGTGGTCCCAGCTACTTGGGAGGCGGAGGCAGGAGACTTGCTTGAGCCTAGGAGCTGGAGGTTGCTGTGAGCCGTGATGCCACAGCACTCTGCCCAGGGGAATAGCTTGAGGCTCTGTCTCAAAAAAAAAAAAAAATCTGGGCATTAAGTTAGCTCTGTATTTGTGAAATTGTACACCTCAGCTCTTGCTGAATGAGTAACCCTGTAGGGGTGGGATGGACAGTAAGTCCAAAGGATGTGACGAGTTGGGAGTAGAAATGGGAATGGAACAGCTCCCAGCCTGCCTTATAGGCTGCTGGAGCATTAAATCAGAGGCTGTAGCATTTGTAGATTTATGTATGTACATGTAGCTGCTGGGATGCAGCTAAAGCCAAGCAGATAACCACTATAGTGTGAGACAGCACTTCCTTTTTTTTTTTTTGAGACAGAGCCTCAAGCTGTCCCCCTGGGTAGAGTGCTGTGGCATCACAGCTCATAACAATCTCTAACTCCTGGGCTCAAGTGAGTCTTCTGCCTCTGCCTCCCAAGTAGTTGGGACCACAGGTGCCTGCCACAATGCCTGGCTATTTTTGGTTGTAGCCGTCATTGTTGTTTGGCGGGCCCAGGCTGGATTCGAACCCGCCACCTTAGGTATATGTGGCTGGCTCCTTAGCCGCTTGAGCCACAGGCGCTGAGCCTCCTTTTTTTTTTTTTTTCAAGACAGAGTCACCCTCAGTAGAGTGCCATGGTGTCATATCTCAGAGCAACCTCAAACTCTTGGGCTCAAGCAATTCTCTTGCCTCAGCCTCCCGAGTAGTTGGGACTACAGGCATCTGCCACACACCTGGCTTTTCTTTAGAGGCAGAGTCTTGCTCTTGCTCAGGCTGGTCTTGTGCTCCTGAGCTCAGGCAATCCACCCACCTTGGCCTCCCAGAGTGCCAGGATCACAGGCGTGAGCCACTTTGCCTAGCCAGAGATAGCACTTCCTTAGTCAAGCACTGAGCTGTGATCCTTAAGCTGAGAGGGGAGCTGCCAGCAGGGAGTCAGTTCTACAGAAGGCCTTTCTTTGAACTACAGATGAGAATCCTTCTTCCTATTCTTACTATACTTTCTTTCCTGAGAGTTTTCTCAACTTAACCTTTTTTTTTTTCTTTTTTGAGACAGAGTCTTAATCTGTTGCCCAGAATAGAGTGCCATGGCATTATCATAGCTCACAGCAACTTCAGTCTTTCCAGCTAAGAAATCCTCTTGACTCAGCCTCCCAAGTAGCTGGGATTACAAGCGCCTGCTACAACAGCTGGCTTATTTTTCTATTTTTAGTAGAGAGAAGGTCTTAATCTTGCTTGGGCTGGTCTTGAACTTCTGAGCTCAATCCATCCACCTCAGCCTCCCAGAATGAGAGAATAATGGGCATAAGCCACACTCAGCCCTCAACCCACTTTTTTTTTTTGAGACAAGTCTCACTCAGTCACCCTGGGGTTGAGAGCTGTGGTGTCACAGCTCACAGCACCCTCAAACTCTTGGGCTTAAGCAATTCTCTTGTCTCAGCCTCCTGAGTAGCTGGGACTACAGGTGCCCGCCACAACACTGGGCTATTTTTTTTAGAGATGAGGTCTCTTGCTCAGTGTGGTTTCAAACTCCTAAGCTCAAGCAATCTACCTGGCTGGGCCTCCCAGAGTGCTAGGGTTACCACACCTTGCCCCTCAACTCATTTTTGAAGCCTCCATCCTTTCTTACCTCTCATCTACTTCCTGCCCCAGCTCTCTAAAGCACTGTTTTGAAGACCTCTACAAAGAACATGCGTGTATTTAGCTTAAAAACAGTGGTAGGGGCTCGGTGCCTGTGGCTCAAGCGGCTAAGGCGCCAGCCACATACACCTAAGGTGGCGGGTTCGAATCCCCAGGCCAAGCCTGCCAAACAACAATGATGGCTGCAACCAAAAAATGGCCAGGCGTTGTGGCGGGCACCTGTAGTCCCAGCTACTTGGGAGGCTGAGGCAGAAGATTCGCTTGAGCCCAGGAGTTGGTGAGCGTGATGCCATGGCACTCTACCCAGGGGGATAGCTTGAGGCTCCATCTCAAAAAAAAAAAAAAAAAAAAAAAAAAACAGTGGTAGGGGCAGTCCCAGGATCATCTTAGAGAACTTGTTGGGGGAAAACATTTCCACCCTACCCATGGACTTGGAGCTGGAAAGCTGGAGACCTTAAATCTCAAGATAGAATAGACACAGACAACTTAAACTCAAAAGGTTAACAAGAGCCACACTTCTTTCTTTTCTTTTCTTTTCTTTTTTTTTTTTTTTTTTTTTGAGACAGAGCCTCAAGCTGTCCCCCTGGGTAGAGTGTCGTGGCATTACAGCTCACAGCAACCTCCAACTCCTGGGCTCAAGTGAGTCTCCTACCTCAGCCTCCCAAGTAGCTGGGACCACAGGCACCTGCCACAACGCCCAGCTATTTGTTGGTTGCAGCCGTCGTTTGGCAGGGGCCTGGGCTGGATTCAAACCCGCCACCTTAGGTGTATGTGGCTGGTGCCTTAGCCACTTGAGCCACAGGTGCCGAGCCAAGAGCCACACTTCTTAGGAAACAGAGTACCTGATTCAGTAAGCAGAGTGAAAATTTTATTTTCCTTTGGTTCAGGAGAGATATGGTCTACATCTACAGGCAAAGGAGGAGAAAAAAAAAAACGGCAAAGGGGGTACTTTCATGGTCGTGGAAGGGGCACAAGATGATAAGCAGTGAGATGGTGAAGCTAGAGTGTGAGAATCAAGAGACTACTGGAAAGCCTTTAAGGTTTCTTTCCCCTGGAAGGACAGGAGCACAAGATGCTTTTATAATCTCTGGATTATGGGAAGCCAC